AAAGGGGGGGGGGGGGGGAGGGAGAACACCACCCTCTCCAGTGCCACTGTGGTTGGCAAAGCTACCACTTGGAGTAAAAGGAAAGGATGTGGTGGGGAGAGGGGGGCAAAGTTGGAACACATCTTGAAATTGGCCCAACAAATGAATATGGAAGAGGCCTTACTCATGATTATGCTGATTATTTCAGATTGCCTGGATCTAGTCCCTGGGCCATCCAACTATGGTAAATAGATTAACACAAATAGGTGCTTTAAAAAATAAAATGCCAAATTTGAAAAAGTAAACATGTCAGCCTGCATAAAATTTTGTATCCTGTAACAATGCCCCTCTGGATTCTATGTAGGACAAACAGGCCAGATGTTGCACAAAAAAATTAATGGATGCTAGTTTGACATCAGGACTCAAACAGGGACAAAGTAATCTCAGAGCATTTTAACCTCCAAGGACATTGCATTACAGATCTCAAAATAGCCATTTTGGAAAACAAGAAACTTTATCGGCAAAACTGAGGGAAAGATTTGATGTATGATCACATACATCAAAAGGTTTCCAGCTATCTCAGAAGATATCAGCAGATACAAAGCGTTTTTAACACATTACAATTATTAATTGATAAGGTACTTTTAATCTGTTTCAATGTAGCCTGCATCTGTAGAACTCCCCTGTCTTCCTGTCCTTCTCCTCCACCTCATCCCAATTTGAACCTTACACCATAGATCTGATGAAGTGAGCTGTAGTTCATGAGAGTGTTACTTGGAAAAGATGCTACCAAACTCCTATTGATTCTGAGCTCCACTCTCATTGCCCGCAGTGTGCATCACTCAGACTTGAGACTGGAATGACCTGCGATGGAAGAATGGATTGTAAAGTTGATGGAGCTAGCTGAGATGGTGAAATTGACAGCTTTGATTAGAAAAAAGACATTGGATAATGTTAATGCTAATTGGAAACCCTTTATGGACTTTTTGCGGGAAACAGAAAAAAATGAAGTTATGATATATGGATTTGATGATTAGCAAAATTAATAGATTATAGAAAAAATGGACGTTAAGTTGAAATCTTTGAATAAGAGTTTCATGTATGCTTCACTTACATCTGCTGTAAAAGAAGTTGGAAGTCATTCTTTCTTTTTATGTTTCTGCTTCTTTTGCTTTTTTTCTTTCTCTATTCTTTTTTTCTATTCTCTTTCTTGATTATTAGTTCTTGTTAGTTTTGATCTTTCTGTTTTTAAAAATGTAATAAAGTTTTTATATATAAAAAAGAGAAACTGGAATGCCTAAAAGTGAAATGAGGGCTTGAAGGCACATGATCAGCTACTAGCTTAAGAATCAATTCTTTTTCAGAGTTTTATTACCTTTATTGGCTTTGACAGATGACTACATACTGAGTTAGATGTAGCAGATGAACAGAAATTAAGGTCATATAGGCTTTTGGTAGAATTCCTTATCTCTATTGGGTATGAACAGGCTAATCAGGTTTTTCCTCAAAGAGTAAATGATAGGGAATATCAACATGAGGTCAATAGGGTTAACTAGGGTAGGAGAATTTGGTTGCAAAATTTACTTGGGAACCAGAAAATTATCTAAATAAACTCAGTTTTCCCAAGTTGTAAAAATAACTGTTTAGGGATAGGAACCACATTCTCATTTCTGCACTTCTGCAGGATAAATATTCCAAAACCAAACTAGCTGAGTGCACTTGCCTATGTGAATCTGGGGGGACTGAAACAATACAAGTCCTATGATATGGTACTTTTTATAGAGAAGTTATAAAAGTTATATTATGCCCCTTCTGTGCCAGAGCCCAGGCAGAACAAATGAGCTCCATGTTAAGCTTTAGTTCTCTGACTTGAAATATTTTATTACCTACATGACAGCAAAATGTTGTGTAGCTGCAGTGAAAACGAGGCAACAGATAATGCAAACACTCAAGCATTGTTTTACCGATGCATGTGTTTTTGTAATTTTGCTGATCATTGATTGTAAATAAGGACTTTAAGCCTTGCATGGGCCTAATGCTGCATTCCACCACATGATCATTTTAGTATGTTACCTAAATTTGCCAGATGTCATTGTTTGTTCTAGGGATTTTTGGATTGTCCTGTTGTTTTCCCACTGAGCCTAAGATCCTTCTCATTTTTTTGCTACTAACAATACCCTACAAGCCTAATACTAGCTGGTTGATCATTTTACTTACAATAAATACTGAAAATAGAGCTTTATACAAGGAGGAAACTTAACCACCATTGTTCTCAAGTAGAACAAAATAGTGCAGAGTTTAGGCCAGTACTTTAAGTGACAAGTATTTTTGACATTTGTGAGCTTTCCATATGTCTAGGTGACCCAAACTGGCTTCTCAAAAGAGAATGAGGCAGGCAACAGATGTTATCTCAGTAACTGCACCTCTCCTTTCATTTGCCACGATAGCAGGTTTACTGGACTGAGGCAGCACATTATGTTGTCAATGGGAACAATGGCTGTTAGGTTTCCTCTTGTACAGAGAATCTATTCTGAGTTTTCCTACTTTAACTGTGAAAAAACAAACAATTTAGATCCTGTGAAGTATCTGTGATTCTGTCAGTGTCATTTTTAGCAAATCTCTAATTTCAGACATTCTATGTTCAGTTCTGCTGTTAATGACTTTGGCAGACAATTCCACATTCGTGTATGTATGC